TTGTTGGAGGACCCAAATCCCATTGTTGGAGGACCCAAATCCCTTTGTTGGAGGACCCAAATCCCATTGTTGGAGGACCCAAATCCCATTGTTGGAGGACCCAAATCCTGTTGTTGGAGGACCCAAATCCCATTGTTGGAGGACCCAAATCCCGCCCTGTCCCCCTCCCCCTCCCCCCCCGCTCCCCCTCCCCCCATCCCAGCCCCCCCTGCCCCCCATTACCCGCCTCCAGCCGCCCCCAATGCAGGGCAGCGAAGAGCGCATGCGCGCGGAGCCGCTGGCAGGAGCCGTCCTGGAAGCCCAGCCGCGCCTGCGGGTCTTTGGCCAGCAGCCCTTCGCACAGCGACCGCGCGGCGGCGCTGAAGCGCTCCGAGTAACTGACGGCGTCGTGCAGCGTGCGCCGCGTCACCTCCTTCTGCTCCACCTGCGGGACGGGGGGACGGAGGTGAGACGTGGGGACACGGGGAGACCCATAGGGATGTGGGGTGACACAGGGATGTGGGGTGACACATAGGGACACGGGGAGACCCATAGGGATGTGGGGTGACACATAGGGACACTGTGACCCATAGGGATGTGGGGTGACACGTAGGGACGTGGGGTGACAAAGGGATGTGGGGTGACACATAGGGACACGGGGAGACACAGGGATGTGGGGTGACACATAGGGACACAGTGACACATAGGGATGTGGGGTGACCCATAGGGATGTGAGGTGACACACTGGGATGTGGGGTGACATGTAGGGACACTGTGACCCATAGGGATGTGGGGTGACACATAGGGACACAGGGAGACAGAGAGATGTGGGGTGACCCATAGGGACGTGGGGTGACTTATAGGTGACATGGGGTGACCTGTAGGTGACCCATAGGGATGTGGGGTGACCCATAGGGACACAGTGACCCATAGGAACATGGGGTGACCCATAAGTGACCCATAGGGACATGGGGTGACCCACAGAGACACAGTGACCCATAGGGACATGAGGTGACCCATAGGGACACAGTGACCCGTAGGGACATGGGGTGACTTATAGGTGACATGGGGTTACCCATAGGTGACCCATAGGGACGTGGGGTGACACATAGGGACACAGGGAGACATAGGGATGTGGATGACCCATAGGGACATGAGGTGACATAGGGATGTGGGGTGACCCATAGGGATGTGGGGTGACCCATAGGGATGTGGGGTGACACATAGGGACACAGTGACCCATAGGGACATGGCGTGACTTATAGGTGACATGGGGTGACCCATAGGTGACCCGTTGGGACATGGGGTTACCCATAAGTGACCCATAGGGACGTGGGGTGACACATAGGGACACAGGGAGACCCATAGGGATGTGGGGTGACCTATAGGTGACATGGGGTGACCCATAGGTGACCCATAGGGACGTGGGCTGACCCATAGGGGCCCGGTGCCCCACAGGTGCCCCCCACCTTCTCCCCACGGCGGCGGAACGGCCCCTTGGCGTCCAGCATCTCGTACAGCGTCACCCCCAGCGTGAAGTAATCGACCGCCATGTCGTACTCCTCGTCCCGCAGCACCTCGGGGGCCATGAAGCCTGGGGGCACGGCCCCACAGCGCCCCATAGATCGACCCACAGCGCCCCATACATCGCCCCATAGCTCACCCCTTAGATTGCCCCACAGTGCCCCATAGATCGACCCACAGCGCCCCATAGATTGCCCCATAGCTCACCCCATAGATTGCCCCATAGCTCACCCCTTAGATTGCCCCATAGCACCCCATAGATTGCTCCATAGCACCCTGTAGATCGCCCCATAGCTCACCCCTTAGATTGCCCCATAGCACCCCATAGATCACCCCTTAGCTCACCCCACAGATTGCGCCATAGTTCACCCCATAAATAGCCCCATAGCACCCCATAGCTCACCCCATAGATCTCCCCATAGCACCCCATAGATCACCCACAGCTCACCCCATAGATCTCCCCATAGCACCCCATAGCCCTGCTTCCTAGCCACACCCCATACTTCACCCCACAGCTCCCACCCCACCTCCATCTCCCCACATCCCCCCTCCCCCCACAC